ATGTCTGCCTATGTGTCAATTCTTAAATAGTTGCAACATTTCGCTACCCTAGTTGCCCAGTTCTTAGTTTTGAGGGTAAAATTTACAGGAAAATGACCGCCAAATTTTGGTGACTATCAAAGCTTCTGTGTCCTGGAAACTGCTAGTTTACATTTTTTGTGCCTTTAATTAACATTTTTTCCGTAAAATTAACTCTAAAAAGAAAAGATTTTAAATTAACATAAATATCGTTGAATCAAAACACAAACTCAATAAAGATCGACCAACGTGTAGAAAAATTTTGGATTCTTCGATTTTCTTTAATTTTGACGAGCGCCTGATTTTACCGCTATGCCTCACAATATGGGGGGGGGGGGGGATCTGAAACAGGAGAAAACCGTGAACTTTGAACCTGTTGTACGTACCAGGGTCACAATGACGTCAGCTTCCACGGGTCTGACCAGATCCCGACGCCCAACATTGACTTCCTGGCGTATAACGGTGTGATTCTGAACAACTACTGCCTCAGTCCCATCTGTACACCCACACGGAGCGCTCTACTTACTGGCAGACATCCTATACATACTGGTGGTTGTTGTTGTCGTTGTTGTTGTCGTTGTTGTTGTTGTTGTTGTTGTTGTCGTTGTTGTTGTTGTTGTTGTTGCCGTTGTTGTTGTTGTCGTTGTTGTTGTTGTTGTTGCTGTTGTTGTTGTTGTTGTCGTTGTTGTTGTTGTTGTTGTCGTTGTTGTTGTTGCTGCTGTTGTTGTTGTTGTTGTTGTTGTTGTTGTTGTTGTTAATTCTGCGGGTCGGGGGCTGAGGAAGCGAATAATACTTAAATTGATAGAGAAAAGGAAGGACATTATGTAAAAGAGATGAATGAAGGAAGAGAAAGATGAATCTTAGCGAGAGATAGACAGATATAGAGTGAAAGAAACAAGAGTTCAAAGATGAACATTTATGTTACAAAATTATTCACTTAAAAGAATTAATGTTTACCAAAAAAAACCTATCATTGCATAAACGTAATTTGTGTATGTGTTGAGTCATCATGTCAATATTTCAAGCGGTTGGTGGTTGGCGGGTGCTCTGGTGTGGTTTGCTCCTTCTTTCCTGTCAAACATCTATTGTCCTTGTCTCTCCTCCTTCTTTGGTGTGTATGGTTGGTTTTTTTCCATAGAGGTTTTACGGCGCTCGCAACTGCATAAGGTCATATGAGCGCCAAGGGGTGGATGTCAACAGAGAAATCCTTACAGGGAATCAGACTTACTCTGCTCACCTCTCTAGCTTCAACGGCACAAAGTCTGCTTCGACTATCCAGGCACCCCGGAAATAGCGGGTCTCAAGAGTGTGACAAACATACAAAAGAAGTAGAGGAAAATGACGATAATAAGGATTAGGAAACAAAAAGCAGCAGTTCCCTGTTGTAGATCAGGCACAGTTATGAGTGTGACATTGTTGAATCAGCCCATTTACAATTACAATTCTATTGTGCAGAAGAACTCCAGATGTTAATGTCCCCCCCCCCCCCCCCCCCCCAAACCCACTTTGGGAATGGCCTAAAGACACTTCAGTCAGTAGCACTGCCCCGGGTTTTTTGTGTATGTTACTCTTTCACACTTATATGACCTTATTGCGTTGCAAGTGTCGTAAAACTCTTACTAAAATTTTAAAAATATGTCCGGGAGCCGTTGTACTTACATCTATTTGACTGACACATTGAGGTGTGGGGCAGCTGATTTTCATTTTTTCCTTCTCAGGTATGCAACATGGCGTCATATTGGGAGCTGAGCCATACGGACTTCCTCTGAGAGAGACGCTACTGCCTCAGTATCTGAACACACTCGGATATCGCTCAAGAATTGTTGGGAAGGTAAAGGAAGTTATTCGTCTCTCGTTCGTGTGTTTGGGAAGCATGCGTGTGTCTCAGTCAAAGATGTTATATTTCGTACAAGAGTTCGTGACAGTGATGCCCCCCCCCCCTCCCCAAAACACTTAAACAAAGATGTTATATTTCGTACAAGAGTTCGTGGCAGAGATGTCCCCTACTTAAACAAAGATGCTATATTTAGTGCTTGAGTTCGTGGCAGTGATGC